CCGACATGATCACTCCCAGGTCTTTGACGTTGGTGTTTCGCTCTATTTTGTGGCCAGAATTTGTTTTGTACTCTGATGAACATTTAATTTCCTCATGTTTACCATATCTGAGTAATTGAAATTTCTCATCGTTGAACTTCATATTGTTTTCTGCAGCCCACTGAAAGATTTGGTTGATGTCTGCCTGGAGCTTTGCAGTGTCTGCAATGGAAGACACTGTCATGCAGATTCGGGTGTCATCTGCAAAGGAAGACACGGTGCTGTGGCTGACATCCTTGTCTATGTCGGATATAAGGATGAGGAACAAGATGGGAGCGAGTACTGTGCCTTGTACTTTTGACTACCGCCCACAGGATGGGTATGGGGTGCATAATAAACATATTAAACTAACTCTCTCTCGCCTGCGTTCGAGGGAATACAGATCAAGGACCTTCAAACATTCCCAGTAGTTTAGGTGCCTTATCGCACTTGTGTGTGCCGTGAAAGTTTTGTACACTCTCCAGGTCTGCAATGTCGCCAGCCTTGAAGGGGGCCGTTAGTGTACAGCAGTATTCCAGCCTAGAGAGCACAAGCGATTTGAAGAGAATCACCATGGGCTTGGCATCCCTAGTTTTGAAGGTTCTCATTACCCATCCTATCATTTTCCTAGCGGATGAGGTAGATACATTGTTGTGGTCTTTGAAGGCTAGATCCTCTGACATTATCACTCCCAGGTCCTTCACATTACTTTTCCGCTCTATTGTATGGTTAGAATTTGTGGTATACCTTGACACATTTTTAATTCAAGTTTTCCATATCTGAGTAGTTGAAATTTCTCCTCGTTGAACTTCATATTGTTTTGAGTGGCCATTCGAAGATTTGGTTGATGTCCGCTTGGAGTCTCGCGGTGTCTTCGATGGAGGTCACTGCCATGGTGATCCGGGTGTCATCCGCAAAGGAAGACACGGAGCTATGGCTTACATCTCTGTATGTCAGAAATGAGGATGAGGAATAGAATGGGAACGAGTACTGTGCCTTGTGGAACAGAACTTTTTACCAAGGCTGCCTGGGACTTTACTCTGTTTACTATTACTGGAGCTAAGTAGTGCACACATGGTTACTGTCCACAAAACGCATTTTCACATAGTTGAGGTTTATTATTATTATAATCAAAAAGAAGCGCTAAGCCACAAGGGCTATACAGCGCTGTAGTCGAGGTTTAAACTATATATTAAAAGGACCCCAAAGGAAACAAGTCAGTGACTGTTGCGTTATCCTAGGCAATTCACACTGTACGATAACTACTTTTGTGTACCTGTGCCTAAAACTTACACCGGGGGTTGACTTTTTTTTTTTTGGGGGGGGGGGGTGTCATCCACTGCTTCGAGACGAAACTTAGAGCATCGGCCTTCCCTAGGAGAGGTTCCTTCACGCAGGTGAGGGGCTCTTGATCCAAGGAATTGGGCCTGACCTCCGCTTCCTTGGCCTGAACCTGATTGCCTCTCATTTCCCCCCCCCCGGTGCTGCATGGCCCCTACAGGTTTAGCTCTTACCATGGAGGGCAGGGAGAGAAGCCAGCCTCTAACCGCAGAAGCATCAAGGCCACCATCCAGGAGAGGGGCCCCGCATCCGGATTAGCGAGAGAGCTGAATATTGGGTTAGTTGTGAGTAATGCACAGTTCTTAGAATTTACTCCAAGGTTGTATATACCACAAACTAGTTAGGATGTCACGAAACCAAACTATTACACAGCTGAGATAAAGTCATCACATCTCAGCTGACATGCAGCCCGAGCTGGATGCAACAAGACACGTGTCTCGCAAAAAATGACCAGTCCACCCATTCACAGCCCATGACAGTCATTATCCGTCCCCGTCATTACCTGTCAGACTTGTCTAACACTAGGTGTTGCTTGCCCACTGACCTATTCTTCGCTACCTGTCCATACTGTGGCCTCCACGGTCACCCCGGAGACATACATGCCGGCTGGATTTCCAGCTATCCTCTTATCAAATCTACCAGTCTTCCGCGTCGCTATCTCGTCAGGACGTCACTACCGCCCTTGCCACCCATCTCATCACCGTCAATATGTTGAAGTGCCGAAGAATAAAGAACATGACCAGGAAGATGAAGCAGCCTGCTGTAGAGGAGTGAACAGCTATGCCCATCATGCTCTTAAAATGTGCAGAAGAGGTGCACAGGAAGGTCTACAGGAGACTAACAGGACCTGGTGTGGTCATCTGGACAAGCCGGTGGCAAAGTGAATAGCGTAAAGAAATCCTGAGGTGCGAGCTTTATATAATGCTGGTCTACCATTGTAACCCACTACTGTTGAGCAACGGTGGCCTGACTGTGGCCTAGTTAATACGAGAGTACCTAAAATGGAATAAAAGTTATAATTATATTCGTTGCACTTGAAGACGGTAAAGAAAGTAGCAATTTTCTCAGAATCGACAGTGGTCGTAAACCAGTTCCAGCCTTCATAAAAACTTGCAAATCATTCCTGATACAAACTACCTACCGCGATGTTCAGCGTGCCCCCATGTTACATTGTAAACCAGTGTATGTAGGTTTAGGGGATCATCGCCCCCCCCCCTTCCTGCTACGCAGTCTCAGATCAAGCCTCTGAAATTGAAAAAAATACATTACGGGACTAAGAACTATTAAGGAACGAAGAAACTCAAGAATGTGAAGGTAAGCGTGTATATATAGTATACATAATTATATATATATATATATATATATAATATATATAATATATATATATATATATATATATATTATTTTTACACAAGTTTGCAAGACGTTCTTTCATCTTACATGTTCACGAGACGGGAAAGACCACCAATTCTGCTAAACTGCAAAACTTAACAGTTTTACACTAAGAAAGGGCTGTCGTACCTTTCAGGATAACGTTATCTACCTTCACCTCCCATTTAAACACGAACATCGTTATTCGAGATAAAAATTACTCTATTACATAACTAAATCTAATTATTTATCACCACTAAACAGTAAGTAATGTAGATAGACATTTTGACACCAGAAAGTGACGCCAGGTCAAGGTGTTAATTAACGTTCATATATTGAAACCGGAAATTTTTAAATTTGCGTAGAGCCGCCTCCACTTACTGAGCTGGGCGACCCCACACAGGTTTAGCACCTTACACAAAGTCCTTTTCCGATTTCATTTTTTTAACGGTAATTTATGAAATAGAAGTTTCCCGCAGTTTGGTAACAGAGCCACAGATGTGTCTCTTAACATAATGATAAATGGATCACCTATCACAAAACTCACAGAGGGAAAATTCCTAGAATCCACCTTGATAATAGACTCAAATTTCAAACACACGTACAACAAATTTCCAAAAAAAATTCCAAGACCCTAGGCATACTATCGAAGATACGGTACTATGTTCCACAGTCAGCCCTCCTGGCCTTATATCACTCACTTATTTACCCCTATCTCACCTATGGAATTTGTGCATGGGGCTCAACAACAATAAACCATCTCAGACCACTAATCACCCAACAAAAGGCTGCATTCAGAATGATAAATTCCCATTAGAGACAGCACACTCCACCAATATTCAAAACTCTAAACTTACTCACAATACAAAACATCCATACTTATTACTGCACCTACTACATACATAGAACACTTAACTCTGACATAAACCCTCCCCTCAAACATCTCCTTCCCAAACCCTCAACAGAACACATGACCAAAAACACAAGACACAGATCACTCTTTGATGTTCCTCGTGTCCATCGCACGCTATGCAAAAACTCAATGCACATAAAAGGCCCTAAAATCTGGAATTCACTACCTGTGAATATAAAAGAAACACTGTCTGTTTATAAATTCAAGTCTCTTCTCAAAAATCACTTACTCACCCACAACTAAATAAATACTGAATAACTGTATCTCATAAATTGTATCTCATATATGTATCTCATTATTGTATCTCGTATGTCAACCTGTGACCCAATCAAACTGTTACTATTTAACTTCATTACCTAACATAATACTCCATTCTACTGATTACACAGCAACACAGTAAATGACCATATGACCTGTCTTTGTAATACTCATTTGTACTAAATTGTTATCTGTTTTACAATAATTTTTGTACCACTGAATATATCATTGCTTAGTTAATCTTAAGTTAATTTTAAGCCTGCCCATAATGCTCTGCATACAAGTGGCTTTGGCATGCTGCATTTAACTATATTTTTTTGTACTTCACTGTATCATGTTCAAATAAATAAATAAATAAATAAATAAAATAAATAAACTAAATAAACTAACAGTTTGTATACAGCTTCACGATTGTCTAATCTAAGCAACCTCAACATGTGCATCTCTGGTGGCCCATAACACATCCATGATACTCCGTTCCACGTACTGATCAACATATTCGGTGCAACTTTTCCCTTTGTATTATTGTAGTACGGAGTTTTAATGTTAGTTACTGGTACCTGGAACACAATCAATGAAACCCAACAAGACGTCTAAAAGGGTTATATCAGAGGAGCGTGGGAGGGAGGGGGGGAGGCCATATAACAGGGCCATCACGCCCAAACTACCACAGAACTGTCATAATTACACTAACTTATGCGAAGAATTGCATTTTCATATATTCTACTATATTGTAATAAATTTATGAAATCTGTTTACTTTCCAGACATCCTCTTTAATGACTGGAAAGCTATGGAAATGCCGATATTATGTAAAGACATGCCCAGTTTACCTGGAGTTTACCTGGAGAGAGTTCCGGGGGTCAACGCCCCCGCGGCCCGGTCTGTGACCAGGCCTCCTGGTGGATCAGAGCCTGATCAACCAGGCTGTTACTGCTGGCTGCACGCAAACCAACGTACGAGCCACAGCCCGGCTGGTCAGGAACCGACTTTAGGTGCTTGTCCAGTGCCAGCTTGAAGACTGCCAGGGGTCTGTTGGTAATCCCCCTTATGTATGCTGGGAGGCAGTTGAACAGTCTCGGGCCCCTGACACTTATTGTATGGTCTCTTAACGTGCTAGTGACACCCCTGCTTTTCATTGGGGGGATGTTGCATCGTCTGCCAAGTCTTTTGCTTTCGTAGTGAGTGATTTTCGTGTGCAAGTTCAGTACTAGTCCCTCTAGGTTCAAGACATTTCAGGAAAAAAGTTCCGCCACTTGTAGCGAAAAGTTTTCGTAATGTCTAGGACTGATTTTTTTTTATCTATGCACCTTCTTTAATATTTGACGAAAATTCGTCAGTAATATAGTTTTCTGGAATAAATGACACTATACTGGAAACGAAGCCTCGCAAGAGAAATATGTTTAACAGGCGTATACTGCAAAAATATAAAAAAAAATCATAGAATTAAGCCCTTGAATTTATACAACAAAATATTAACATGCTAGAACTGAAGGAATTAAGATCAATGAAACCGCTAACCCATCAGGAAAGTTGAGTGCAACGGTTATCAATTTTCATCGATCGTTCCCACTCCACCTGGGGGGTGGATGCCCGCCAAGAACTTTGTGGTCCACGCCACCTGAAGCTGCGGTCTAGAGGAGCGGGTCCAATGGGCTCGGATGTAGCCAAGTGAAGTTTATATGCCTGAATGTAAAAAAAACTAGCATTGAAAAAAATTACATAAAGGCCAATGTATCTGCAGCGTCATATTTTCAGTTATTTCGGAAAATACTCTGTACCTAGAGTATACCTGGAGGGTGTTCCGGAGGGCAACACCCCCACGACCTGGTCCATGGCCAGGTCTCGCGGGGGATTAGGGCCTGATCAACCAGACTGTTACTGTTGGCCGCGCGCAAACCAACGTACGAACTACATCCCGGCTGGTCAGGTACTGGGCTGCGGTTCGTACGTAGTACGAAAGGTACGTACGGTTCGTACGTAGTAATGGAGTAAATATTTTAACTTTCCTCAACACATCCATAATATGCTAAATATTGGGCACTGCAAATAACTGATAAGCACCAGAGCTCTGGAAACAGTACACGAGAACCAGACTATGATGTTACTTGCATGTTAACACGATACGAGTGACGTAATCATCCCTTAACCCTTCATAAAGGGGGAGAGAAGGGGGTGCCTTGATGCTGGTTAATTAAGGGCTTGTTCTAATTAATTAGATAACCTATTCCCGAGACGTCTGCTCCCTACGGTTCCCCCATGATAGACAAACTTCATTCAACTATCCTCTTAAACAGCTGATGACGACCAGCCTCCCCCTTCCCTTTCCCACTGTAATAATCAACAAGCAGAAAGAAGAGAGCTCAATTAGAAACCCATTGAGCAGTGGTGGCTCCAGAAATTGTATATTATAGGAGAGGGCTTGTCTTGAGGTAGTTATTATTTGGGGGTTTATGTAATTTTGGGGGGCTTCAGCCCCCATGACCAGACCTCAGTGGCGCCGCCCTTGACAGTGTGTCACTGTTAGCATCGCAAGAAACTCGTGTAAACGCTACAAGCACAAAACTGGTAACAAAAGCAGGTGGGTCGGGCGTTAACGCTTGCCAGCGATCATTTACAATGCCCATGGTTTTATCATTACATTCATGGAGAATCTTTAAACCCATACAAATCATAAAACTCCTCTACAATGAGATGTAATCTAATCTGATGAAGGGAGGGTAGTACCAGTTCCAAGGATCAAAGTGCCCTTCACTAGCATCCAGGTAACCCCCCCCCCGCCTCCCTATGAAGGATCTCTGTGTATGGAATAAAGGTTCAGGCGCTTATCGGATTATCTGATATCCTTATAATTGTAGAAGTCTGTACGAGAATAAATTATGCAAGATCCAAGTCACTAGTAACATGGTTCTCAGAGAATTTGATGGATTTCAACCAAACAGCGTTTTCAAGACTAATCTGAAAAAGAAACATTAGCGGATCACCAACAGATCATTATGAACATGTATGGTGCCGGAGATATGAAAAACTGCAAATGTGATATTCAATACAAGCTAAGAGCAAAGTTCAAATTATATACCAAATCAGCCTAACTTTAATTGTGAAAAAGTTGACGGAATCAATGATTGTGAATGCAATCAAAAGCCACCATGAACTATATAATATTATGGTTAATCTCAACACTCAAAAAAAAAAGTGCGCTCGACCTAATACAAACCTATTTTTTTTCACCGAGGTACTAGACCGAGGCAGTAGGTCAAGAGAGAATACGATGCCGAATATATGGATTTCAGCAAGACCTTTGATAAAATCCCACACAGGAGACTGATGAAGAAAGTAACGGCAAGTGGTATACGAGAAAAATTATCTCCTGGGGCAGAGTCAAATTGTGACCATAAATGGGGAGAAATCAGAATAGGGAACATTACAAGTGGTGTGCTGCTGGGGTATTGGTACCCTGTGCTTCCAGTCTACATAGCAGATGAGAATAAGAGCGACATAAGGAAGTTTGCCGATGACAAAAACAGCCCGTTAGATCATTTCTGAAGAGGACATTAGAAAACTACCAGATATTTGAAAGGTTGAGGGTGAGATCGGAGAAGTGACAGTGCAGTTTAGTGCAGACAAATGCATGGGTCTAATCCCAGGAAAAGGAAATAGTTACAGTACGCAATATTGAGCTTAGTCAAACTGAATGTGAAAAAGATTAAGGAGTTCTAGGTAGTAGAAATTTAAGGTTAATAGTGCACAAGTATTCAAGAGTCAAAAGGATTCACAGCTTCATGTCAAGAAGCATCAAAAATACACGTCCAAGGTCATACATCATTTAGATTACGCTGCTCATTTCTGGGCTCCATATTATAAAATGGAATAAATGTACCGCCAAATATTCAGAAAAGGATGAAGTTGATCCCTCGTATCAGAAACCCGTCCTATGAAGACTGAAGGTACTGAATTTGCACTATGAAAAGACAGAATTTAGGAAGGGGATACTACTGAAGTATCATGTGGGGGTTCGAACACGTGGATAGGGTAAAGTAATACTCACGTAGGCTGGTAGTACGTATGAGCCTCGCCCTGGGAAAACCGCCTTCGTGATCATGGTATCTCCTGTGCCAGGTAAGTATTATTAGGTATTTATCATGTGGGGGTTCGAACACGTGGATAGGGTAAAGTAATACTCACATAGGCTGGTAGTACGTATAATTATAACGGTAGTATGGAAGAGCCAAACAGCCGTGACCTGCCTCCTTGCTCACTCTCGTCAGACTGACTAACCCCAGTACCCATATGTGAGGGGGTGTTTGAAATACTGCTGTGGTCAGCACAATATGAATACAAACAGTGATTCACGCAGAGACAGTTGGTAGTGAGTCATCTACTGGTACACTGGTTACTGGTAACTACTACTGAGAGAAGTATACAAATGTAAAACCGGAATAAAGAAGATATAACCTGCTGAAAATATTTAACCACGATAGAACTCTCAGCAATGAATTAAAGTTGGATAAATTTAGATATAAAACTTACAGGGAAGTACTGGTTTGAAAATAGTTTTAGTGTAACAAACTCCCAGGTAGCGTCATTAGTGCGAGACCTGTGAGTAGTTTTAAATACAGGTACACGAGCGGGTGTGGTTAAGTATGAGTTGGACCTGCCTAGCGTGAAACAGGCTTACTGTGGCGTTCTTTCAATCTTTTATTCCTGTGTCATCGGAACTTTGGTCTGTGGAAGCATACAACCTTTTAGGTTCAACATACTCAAGCAAGACTAGCTCAACTGCAGTACATAGTTTAATTAGACCTACTTGTTGTATTTGTATCCAAGTCTGAGTGTGAACGCCCGAGTGTGAGCTCCTTTGCGGGTTGCACTCGCGATAAAACATTTAATAAAAACTAAACATTCCTACACCACGAGAATCATGATCCTTAAACTGCATCTAAGATATACAGGTGCAGTCGTGATGAATTATTTGAAAAACCGACAAGTTGAAGATTGAGACACTTGTGCAACATATGGGAATCTTTATTCAGGAAACGTTTCGCCACACAGTGGCTTCATCAGTCCAATACAAAGTAGAAAGGCGTAAGGAGAGGAGGAGTTTGAGGTAATCAGTCCCTCAGCCTGGAGTTGATGTGTTCAGTCCATCAATCTTGTAGAATGTACAGCATAGGGCCGTAGACGTGGCTTGTATACTGTAGTGAGGTGAGGCGAAGCAGGAGGAGGTGGGGTCATAGTGGTACCATCCACTAGTCGAAGTAGGTCTTCGTCCAAAGGTTGGACAAGTGTTGAAGAATTCTTTGTCCAACCTTTGGACGAAGAACTACTTCGACTAGTGGATGGTACCACTATGACCCCACCTCCTCCTGCTTCGCCTCACCTCACTACAGTATACAAGCCACGTCTACGGCCCTATGCTGTACATTCTACAAGATTGATGGACTGAACACATCAACTCCAGGCTGAGGGACTGATTACCTCAAACTCCTCCTCTCCTTACGCCTTTCTACTTTGTATTGGACTGATGAAGCCACCGTGTGGCGAAACGTTTCCTGAATAAAGATTCCCATATGTTGCATAAGTGTCTCAATCTTCCACAGGTGCAGTCATTAGAAATGCACCTGCACATAATAATCCCTTAAAGAGGGGCAAGTCCGTTAACAGTGATAGCTAAGGATTTTTTTCTCTTCGTTGTTGCAGACCTGTGGTACTGTGCATCCTATTTTTTTAATAAAAAAAATATAATCAAAAAATTTTTTTTAATGAAATACCTGCTAATCTGTTTCATGATCAAGACATGTACAACAGTATCAACCTTGGCGAGAGAGTTTTCAGTGTAGGCGAAACTTTTCAATCAACAAAGATGCCTAACCGTTCTAGAAAACAGGTATCTTACTCTTCAACTTGTCAGTATACCATTTTCAACAAAATTTCGTAAACTAGGTAACCATTGCAATAGTTCTTACATTAGTAGTGTTTTAATCCAAGTGCGTAAAAAAAATTTTGGTTACGTCAATAACACCTGTTGTAGCCTTTTATATACAGTTTAAATTTATGGTCAATAAAATGCAGCAGTGTACAGTTGTTAAGTATAAATACGCAAGCCTAAAATGAAGTTAAACCGAGTTTATACGCAACGTTCAGGTGGGGAAAGTATTCACAGACTGGAAATTTCTTCGGGGTTAACGACCGGCAGAAGTCAGCCCCGAGGCTGTATCAAAGCATGGAAAAGGTTTAATGGCTCTTGCGATAGGGGAACGTGTGGACCAGGAACCCAACCCGCGATAGAAATAGGAGGGCGAGAAACGCCATCCATCTTTTAACACAAAGGGAGATGGAAAAATATGGGAACTAGAACACCAGGCAAGGCTACTTTTATCGGTAAAACAGGGATATATACCTTTACGAGTTACCAAAGTTTTTCTACCCACAGAGTCCGGCCATAGGCCAAAATAGACGTAAACTTTTGATATACATTTGTATATATGCCCAGATGACGAGGCTTATTTGCTACACAGCAGGGTCATTAAGACTGCATGTAACCCAATTACAACCAGGCAAGGATACTTTAATTCCTGAAATGGGTATTAAAATATAATCTCGGTTTATACACCTCTTTATGTTACATAACTTTACCCGCTCTGATGAATAGGGAAGGAGGAGGTTATAAAAGACATCTGTTTGGTACCATTGTAACTTCCTTTGGTTCACTAGTTATTTATGTTCCATAAAAATTTTAGTGTCCTGCGGATTAAGACGACTACCTGATGCTCGTTTATTTATCGTCCTGCTAAAAAAAATAGATAAAGATTTTATATATTAATTTTCTGTATAGGTAAGAGTTTCACTGACTGAATACTAACTGCCCGATTATTATTATTTATTACGTTCATGGCGGGAGCGCTAAACCCGTCGGGGGTTACAACACCTGGGGAAATGGAAGACAACTCGGGTTCGATCTAGGTCCGATTCCTTCGATCAAGAGCAAGATAGGTGTGCCTTCAAGGGCAGGCCCCTGAAGAGAAATTATTATAATCAAAAAGAAGCGCTAAACCACAAGGGCTATACAGCGCTGTCCTGAAGAGAAAGCCCTTATTCATGGCACTGTATCACCACTATGGGTTCAGAACTCAACATGCCACAAATAAAAATTAAATCCTTTGCGAGAGCGTTAATAAAATATATACCACTGCGGGTTTTAATTACTAAGCGTTAATACAATATTCGAAAATTTATTATAGTGATGGGAATAGTTATATAATTACACTGTCACCCAAAAGATCCCCCGTCCCAGTCCCTCCCGTCTCTCCTCTTCCTGTCTCCCCTCTTCCTGTCTCCCCTCTTCCTGTCTCCCATCTCCCTGTTTCCCATCTTCCTGTCTCCCCCCCCAATCACACACGAGCGCGCACGAAATTAAATCTATACGAATTCTTACTAAACATTTTAGTACAAGTCAGTTGTGAAGGGGCACTGACTGATTTCACATTTGATAAGCTTTATCGTCGTTTTCACTCTTAAGTATCTCTGAACTTTAACATTCAAAGGGCCAGTCCTGGCACTTGGGGGTATGGAGGTAATCAGGTTTGATCCAAAGGACTCAAGAAATCGTAATGACACGATTGCAAACAAACCATACCCCCGGCCGGGATTGAACCCGCGGTCATAGAGTCTCAAAACTCCAGCCCGTCGCGTTAGCCACTAGACAGCTAGATGAATCTTATTGTGGCTAGCTGGTCTAGTGGCTAACGCGACGGGCTGGAGTTTTGAGACTATGACCGCGGGTTCAATCCCGGCCGGGGGTATGGTTTGATCCAAAGGGAAAGGCTTCTCTAATTCCTTGCATCAAGAACCCTTCACTAGCACAAGGTACGTTAGCACATAGATACTCAAACGGGTGTCAACGAGAGGGCAAGCATAACATTAGTAACGAGTGTCAACGAGAGGGGAAGCACAACACTGGTAACGAGTGTCAACGAGAGGTGAAGCTTAACATTGGTAAGCGTTAACGAGGACACTGGTAACGAGCATCAACGAGAGGGGAAGCATAACATTAGTAACGAGTGTCAACGAGAGGGCAAGCATAACATTGGTAAGTGTCAACGAGCACAACACTGGTAACGAGACGGAAAAATCAATACAACGCCAGCAGTTACAGGTGGCTGGCAGGCGCACACACATGCGTACATGCCCGCTCACGCGTACATGCGTACCCCCAAGTACATACTCATGCGTTCATGCGTGCACACGTACGCACGGACACAAGTCAGTACTTCCTGGGGCGGTGGAACCTCAGCCAGCCTGGTAACACGTACACTACCATGTTTCTCACTCAACCCCAACAATACTTCCCTAACATCAGCCTTTCTTTATCAACGAACAACGATACTTAACGCACGATGACGTAAAGCAAATGATCATTCACGGGCAATAAAACGAGCGCAATGGCAGCAAAAAAATATGTGAAAGCAGTTGTACTACAGGATAACGTCATCAAAATGTTTTAGCAACATCACTGGACAAGAACTCACTACAGCCACTCACAGACGTACGTTACACTTACATTGCACCAGCAGTAGCCTTTTAATTCAAAGGCAAGTGTGGGAGCACCGAGTGTATACCCTACCTCGTTGGATCACCTTGGAACACTAACTCTTGTACCATTAAATGTCTCGCTAAATAGGACCAAGAGCACCGTACGTCTGGCAAGGCAGCGCGCGGAGCGGCCTTGTGTGTGTGGGTGTTGCTGTACGACAACTAGTTTTCCTCGTGGGGTAACTTTGTTACTTTTCTCATTTGTTTGTTCATGTTTGTCGCAATGACGTCTATTAACCGCAGTTTGGTCATTAAGGGCACAATTCACCCGAACACTAACATCAGGAAAATGTATGTCGTGCCGAATAGGTAAAATTGGTCAATTACGGTGTCCCGTAGTTCGATCACTAGCGCACTCACCTCACACACGGAGGTCCGGAGTTCGAATCTCTGGTACAGCTGGAAAATATTAGGACATGTTTCCATAAGGCACTTGCTGTCCCTGTTCATCCATCAGTATAAAATGGGTACCTGGGTGTTAGTGGACTGGTGTGGGTCGCATCCTGGGACAAAACTGACCTAATTTGCCCGAAATGCTCAGCATAACAAGCGGCTCTCTATATAGTATGTCCTTGATGTCAGCTATGGTCTGTATACCTTGTACATGTACTTGAAATAGATATTATTATTATTATTATTATTATTATTATTATTATTATTATTATTATTAAACTCATTTAAAATTACTGTATATACAAATTTTCGCTTGCCTTAATTGGCAAGAAAAGCGTTGCTATTTAAGCCAAAACTGCGTTTTACCTATTCGGCACGACATTATATATATATATATATATATATATATATATATATATATATATATATATATATATACATATATATATATATATATATATATATATATATATATATATATATATATATATATATATATATATAATGTGTGTGTGTACTCACCTAATTGTGGTTGCAGGGGTCGATACTCAGCTCCTGGCCCCGCCTCTTCACCGACCACTACTAGGTCCTCTCTCTCCCTGCTCCATGAGCTTTATCATACCTCGTCTTAAAACTATGTATAGTTTCTGCCTCCACTACATCGCTTGCCAGACTATTCCACTTCCTAACTACTCTATGACTGAAGAAATACTTCCTAACATCCCTTTGACTCATCTGAGTCTTCAGCTTCCAATTGTCACCCCTTGTTTCTGTGTCCCATCTCTGGAGCATCCTCTCTCTGTCCACCTTGTCTATTCCACGCAGTATTTTGTATGTCGTTATCATGTCTCCCCTGACCCTCCTGTCCTCCAGTGTCGTCAGACCGATTTCCCTTATCCTTTCTTCATAGGACATTCCCCTTAGCTCTGGAACTAGCCTTGTTGCAAACCTTTGCACTTTCTCGAATTTCTTGACGTGTTTGACCAGGTGTGGGTTCCAAACTGGTACTGCATACTCCAGTATGGGCCTAACGTACACAGCGTATAAAGTCCTGAACGATTCCTTACGCTATTCCCAGGTTTGCCAGGCGCCCATATGCCGCAGCATGTACTCACCTATTTGTACTCACCTATTTGTGGTTGCAGGGGTCGAGTCCTAGCTCCTGGCCCCGCCTCTTCACCGGTTGCTACTAGACCCTCTCTCTCCCCGCTCCATGAGCTTTATCAAACCTCGTCTTAAAACTGTGTATGGTTCCTGCCTCCACTACGTCATTTTCTAGGCTATTCCACTGCCTTACAACTCTATGACTGAAGAAATACTTCCTACTATCTCTCTGACTCATTTGTGTCTTCAACTTCCAATTGTGGCCTCGTTTTGTCCCTCGCCTGAACATCCTTATTAACCTTTATATTCACGCAGTATTTTATATGTACTTATTATTCCCTGACCCTCTGTCTCCATTGTCGTCAGCATATTCCCTTAATTTTCTTCATAGACATTCCCCTTATGCTCTGAGGACTTGATCAAACCTTTGTACTTTCTCTTTCTTGACGTCTTCTATCAGTGCTGGGTTCCAACATGAGTGTGCATACTCCAGTATGGGCTAACATACACGGTGTTACGTGTCTGAATGATTCCTTACTAAGGTTCGGAATTCTCTCAGGTTTGCCAGGGAATATGCAGCAGTTATCTATTGATGTTTTGCTTCCGGAACATGTCGGTGTTATACTCACCCCAAGATCCTTCTCCTGAGTGAGGTTTGCAGTCTTTGGCCACCTAGCCTATCTCTGTCTGTGGTCTTCTGTGCCTTCCCCTACTTCATGACTTTGCATTTGGCAGGATTAAATTCGAGAAGCCATTTGCATGGACCAGGTGTCCAGTCTGTCAGTTTCTTTGAATTTCCTGCTGGTCCTCATCAGATTTAATTACCTCATTAATTTCACATCATGGCAAACAGGGACACTTCTGAGTCTAACCTTCCTCTGTCGTTCCATATACCAATATCACTGGTTCCTGTGTGTGTGTCGTGTGTGTGTGTGTGTGTGTGTGTGTGTGTGTGTGCAAAAATCGCGAACAAGCGATAGAAGATGCAAAACAGCCACGGGGGAGTTGATTGATAGCACTAGGCGTATCGTGTTGCAATCAACACATCAGGAGATTGCATTGTTGCAGAAAAGAGGAGGTCCAAGCAAATATAATCACAGGGAACGCCTTTGCAAAGGCGTTCCCTGTGATCGTATTTGCTTAGCCTTCCTCCTTTCTGCAACATTGCAAGAACGACGGACGGGGGAGGTGAACCGCGGCCTGCAGATTGACAATCTCTAGCTCTACCTATCTAGCTATCATAGAAAATGTGGCATTGAAGGGAGGTTTAAGAATAATCTACTGCTAAAGCTCCTGAGCCGAGGGAAGGAGGTCATTTGTGTTGCAGTTGCTTACCCTCCCCTTCCTTGGACGAAACCTGATTACCTCCCATTTTCTAGACATTTTATAACCCCCTTTCTGCTTTAGCGTTCCCTCCTATGAATAAAAAAAATATATTTTTCGGAATGATAGGAATATTTTCCCTTTCGTTAAAATTTGCGTCACGTATAATCGGTGACACGAAACGAATTATTGATATAGTTGCGAAAAATAATTAACGTATGTTGAAATATTTTGACTGCCCAGGGTTGATTTCGACAATAGAGAAGTTATGACAGCATTGGTGCTGATAGCATATTGACAGTGATAGCCCGACTGTGTTGAAAGATGTGAATCACTGTACATAAACTATTAAAAAATAGTACAGTGATACGTGTGTGTGTATGGAAGAAATTATAATAAAACGCGTAATTTTCAGTTTTCATCACAGTGAAAACAGAAAAAAAAAACTTGAGCCCTTTCATGTACTTGCACATCTTCAGAGGAAGAAGAGACATGAGAAGCATACTTCTGAGTTAAACACTGAGGTGATACGTGACTCAGAGACGGTGACAACTCGCCCAGTAGGCCTACTGGTTCACCTCACTCTGTCAGGTGGTGCCTCACTTAGGCAGCACTTCACTCTGTGAGTTGTCAGAAAAACCTATCGGAACTCATCAAAGGTAAAGCTATGTATAGAAATACTACATAGTCGAGTCAGAAATGAAGTTGTGGAGCAGTGAGCTACGATGGCGAGTCTTCCATTCAACGCCGTCACATTTACACGAAAATTTGTCACGCAAAAGTAGTTTATATCAGTAAAATGAAGATTATCATGTATGCCAGCGACCCTGGAGCCAGTGTGTCAGTCACTCGGGAATTAACAAGGATTAAGGCAGATTCCACCAGGCCCAGCCTCTTCACTGATCGCTACTAGGACCTCTCTCTCCCTGCTCCATGAGCTTTATCATACCTCGTCTTAAAGCTATGTATGGTTCCTGTCTCCAATACCTCGCTTTCCAGACTATTCCACTTCCTGACAACTCTGTAACTGAAGAAATACTTCCTAACATCCCTTTGACTCATCTGAGTCTTCAATTTCCAATTGTGACCTCTTGTTTCTGTGTCCCATCTCTGGAACCTCCTGTCTCTGTCAACCTTATCTATTCCTCGCAATATTTTGTATGTTGTTTTCATGTCTCCCCTGACCCTCCTATCCTCCAGTATTGTCAGGCCTATTTCCCTTAACCTTTCTTCGTAGGACATACCCCTTAGCTTTGGAACCAGCCTTGTTACAAACCTTTGCACTTTCTCTGATTTCTTGACGTGCTTGGCCAGGTGTGGGTTCCAAACTGGTGCTGCATACTCCAGTATGGGCCTGACGTGCACGGTGTACAGTTTCCTGAACGATTCCTTATCGAGGTATCGGAGTGCTATTCTCAGGTTTGCCAGGCGCCCATATGCTGCAGCAGTTATCTGGTTGCTGTGTGCTTCCGAAGACGTGCTCGGTATTACACCCCAAGATCTTTCTCCTTGAGCGAGGTTTGAAGTCTTTGGCCACCTAGCCTATACTCTGTTTGCGGTCGTCTTTGCCCTTCCCCGATCTTCAGGACTTTGCATTTGGCTGGGTTAAATTCGAGTAGCCAGTTGCTGGACCATGTGTCCAGCCTGTCCAGGTCTTTTTGGAGTCCTGCCTGGTCCTCATCTGATTTAATTCATCTCATTAACTTCACATCATCTGCAAACAGGGACACTTCTGAGTCTATCCCTTCCGTCATGTCATTCACATACCAAAAACAGCACCGGTCCTAGGACTGACCCCTGTGGAACCCGGCTTGTTACAGGCGCCCACTCTGACACCTCATCTCGTACCATGACTCGTTGTTTCCTCCCTGTCAGGTATTCTCTGATCCATTGCAGTGCCCTTCCTCTTATAAGCGCCTGATCCTCCAGCTTCTGCACTAATCTCTTGTGAGGCACTGCGTCGAAAGCCTTCTTGCAGTCCAAGAAAATGCAGTCAACCCACCCCTCTCTCTCATGTCTTACTTCTGTTACTTTGTCATAAAACTCCAGAAGGTTTGTGACACAGGATTTACCTTCCATGAATCCATGCTGGTTGTTGTTTATAATCTTGTTCCGTTCCAGGTGCTCCACCACTCTCCTCCTGATAATCTTCTACATGACTGCATACTATGTGTGTGTGTGTGTGTGTGTGTGTGTGTGTGTGTGTGTGTGTGTGTGTGTGTGTGTGTGTGTGTGTGTGTGTGTGTGTGTGTG